AACTACTACTTGTATACTTATAGTTCAGCTGCCATAGGAACTATATGGCATTTCGAAGCTAACATTCATTCTTTCAACCACTCTGCTAGATTAGATTGCAATCTAATGTGTTATTAAAGCTTTGTCGTATCCGGAACACGCTTTAAACGGAAGCCTCGCCTTGAAAAGTGTTGCAAGGTAGGCAAATGCAAATTTTCAAACATCCCATGCACTTCACAATTAAACTCCTAATATCTTCATTGGAAGAGCAACGCGCTTGCACGCAGTTAGCCGCATTTCTGAGCCATCGGTGCGAACCGGTCTGAGTGATTTATGTGGCAGCAACAACAACTAGAACAACAGAGCAACCGAGCAACAACAGCATTTGGACCGACGCTGGCTGTGTTATCAGTAATTTGGAAATTGCTCGCTAAACAATGGCACGCCCACACGCCCAGCCTGCCCCACAAACTAATTGCAGTTGCAGTGCGATGTGCGAATTGCATTTGCGCAATTAAATTGCGCAATATGGCTTGAGCTACACCCAAAAGCATCCGAGGTGTGGGCAGCCTTGCATTTTGAATGCACCTTTTCAAGGACAGACCGAAATCAATCACAAGTCAAGCCACAAGCTAATGCACCCTGATAATGATTGGCGGCCATTCTAAGGCTACCCCATGGTAGGGTGAAAGGGTATACAAGAAAGTATTGTCCCGAAATGTTTGTAACTAGTTTGTAGAAGGAGTCCCCATGTTATAGGTACTGACTCGTCTGTATGTATGAACATAAGTACTTCCATATCAGCACCATATTGAAAGGAAACGCTTTACATGTCCATCCGTCTGTTCGACTGTATGACCATCGAGAACTGTTGCACCCTAACAGCTGGAGACACCAAACTTGGCATTTAAATCTGTCTTGTCAATTTGTATGTTTATTACAAGACAAATATAGGATAGATCTGTCGCATTTAGCAATACTGTTTGATGAAAAATTATTAACAAAAGTACAGTTCCTAACTATCAAGGATTAGGTCAGTATTGCGTCAAAGGTTTGTTAATTCCGTCGTGGGCCGAAAAAGGCATTGTAGTATAAAAGAGAAACGGGTAGTTATAAATCTGAAAAAATAAGGAAAGCCGCCATTTATGGTCTGGGGCTTTTTCCTTGGTAGAGTGTCAAGTCTATACATCTATAAAAGATATTATGGCTCAATTTGAGTAGAGATGCTTAAGACAATATGCCTAGTCTCCTGACTTGAGCCCGATTGAAAACCTTTAGAGGGAGATGAGGCTTACAATTAGTGCAGAAACTTTTTGAAATGCGGACCAGTTGTGGGAATTTTCGCAAAAGTACCTAGTTCTTAGATTCCAGCAAAAAGGATAAATTACTGCTAAGATATGCTAAGGAAAGTCCTATATACAAGAAGATAGTCGTGGCGTGTTGGAAACAGTATTTCCATAGATAGCTACGACTTCCAAGTTTTTTAACATTTTGTCAATTAGGGACCAGCTGTTATTATGGGCTCAGTCAGCAGTTCCAGAAAAGATGATTCCTCGATGCACAAAAGAAACTCCTAAGCAAGTCCCCTCTCTTGTCTGTGGTGTTTTACTAAATAATGTATTGTTTTAAGTCTGTGTATCTAATTAAACTAAAGTCAAAAATTAAGAAAACTCGTGGAGATGTACTTAATTATTTATCTGTGGACTTTCCTAGTATGCCCTTGCACCTATCGGGAAGCGTGAGTCGTTGGCTTCACTCTGCCATCGCCACTCCAATCGTATTCGATTGTTGCGGCCAGGACGGGGCCAGTAAGTAGGTATGTAAGTAAGGCTTCCTTTTCCATTTCGTGCGCTGATTGCCTCAACTATGGAGTCTAGGAATAGACGTGGGGTACTTGCTCATTGTCGCTTAGTTGGCTTAGATTCTCAGCAAAGCCAGAGAGATTCCTGTAAGCTGCTTAAGCAGGCGGCGATAAAATAATAAAAATTGATTTGCGCATCATGTTTTGGCGATAAAATTTTACAACGCAACGCGTCATGCGAAATTATCATTATCCTCTCACACTGCCACCTTTGTGCCGCAACAACAACAACAACAACAGCACAGCAACAACAACAGCACGAGCAACACATCCACATCCAGCACGTAACCAGACCTCGGTTGTTGCAAATCATAGTTAACGACTCCGTCCTACGACGGATGCCGCTGATGGAGCAGCAACATTTTCAATTAAACTGTTCGATGTGATTTTTTCACACCTTGCTACTATTGTTGTTGTTGTGGCTGTTGTTGTTGTCGTTGTTGTGGCTCTGTGCGATTACTAATTGAGCGGTCAGGCTGTGCGGCGAACCCAAACAAGTGCTATTTCTGTTCTATAATTTTGGCAGGGAAAACTATAAATTCAGCAGAGAAACAAGACTTTTGGAAAGCGACAAAAGTGATCAGAAATGTAACGCCCTCGGGACAACTTTGATCTTTCCAACGAAACCTAGACAAGTCTAGAAACTCTACTGACATTAACACCTTCTTTTAGCTCAGAACACTCACTCGTACTTGGAAGTGTGTTCAAAAAGATTCCACAACTACTATCGCCTCTCGTTTCGCTTGCAATATCTTGCCGACATTTTGAAACCCAGTATGAACAGCTTAGGATGGTTTTCGACATTATTGATGTGATTAAAAGAAGGATCTCCATTTTTTAGAATAACAACTTTTGGATAAGAGTCCTGGGCAGCAGTTGGCTTCCATTTTTGCTGAAAAACAGGAAAAATGCGAAAATATATACAAGCCGCCAAACTGTGGAGTGGACTTGTGGACTGGCCACCGTGCTGCCCGTATCTAAATCCCTTTCCAAATATTTGGGGGGTATTAGCACGTCGAGTTTACTCCGATAACAAAAAATATGACAGCGTTCAGTATAATCGGCTTGAACCATCTTAAAACTCTTATACACGTACATAGTATATACAAATTTTTGATCCAGGAAAGGCCCAATATTTATTTAGTATTGTACATTTCCGACACTTATAAATGAGACAAAAAATTACTCTTCGATCAGATGTCCTATCATTACGATACACCTGCAGATGGGCAAAGATGTGAGCTTTCTTAGTAAAATCAGACGGGACTTTTACAAACTTATCTTAAGATATGAAAGAGGTGCTTTTTCTAAGGCCTTTGCTCTAAGTCGCTTACTTCTATTTAATAAATATACGTTTTTTCTTTACAAATAAAGTAAATATGTACCGAAAAGCTCTCATTGTAGCCGTTTTAATATGCATTCTTATTCTACCAGTAGTACCAAAAGGGTTAAGCACGCTACTAAATAGTAACAAAAGAGCAACTAACAACAAAATATTAACCGCAAAGAAAGCTCGTACGAATTTTCGAAGCTCAAGTTCCCGTTAAGACATATTTTATTTGTGTCCAGCACTGTATTTTGTAGAATTTTTAAAATTTCCCTTTCATATATTTTGTGAATTTCCTTATTTATGGAGCATATACTATATAATTAAACTCAGCTATTAAAGAAATCCCCACCTAGACCGATTTACACAATCGAAGCCATGTCGATTAAAAATATATAATATTTTCAGTAATATTTTAGTGTAATATTTAAAAAGCTGCCTTTTAAAGATTTTATTTATAAATAACAACGACGATTGGCTAACGCGACTGCATTTCGCCCGTCAAGAAATTACGTTTCCACAGTGTTTCACTGTGCACATAGACTTTTATTGCTCACTGTACGAAGCAAATGATAAGAAGAGATGAGATTTGACATTTTGACATGTATCTTAACCATAGGTGGCGCTGTAACCCCTTTCAGGTTGCCTATTTTTTAAACAACAAATTTTATACCATGTGGTGGGTGTGATTCACCATGTGGTAAATAAGCCAAGTCTGCCACCATTTGCGTTAATTTCAAGTGTGTCTGAGCTATTGTTGAGTTTGTTATTTTGAAAATATAGTGAAATTGGAAGAAATGGAAGACTTCGACAAAAATAATAAATTTAAGTCAAAATAAGATATATCTAATGATAATAAAATGAAAATATACACCAAGTTAAATGACGTCCTTACATAGCGGGCACATAGGTCTATAAATACTATAGATAGCAGAGGGTTAATCGAAACTATTAGGTGTGAACATAAAATGCTAAATTTGTTTTTGTCCATTCACAGGTGCTAAGTGGTCGCTAAAGGATCGCTTTTCTCTGCCTCTCCTTCCTTTTTCCTAGATAAAGCAGAGATGTGAAATGAAGCGATAGAAACACTCGATGGAAGTAATTGTCCGTCAAATATGAAAACATCGATAGAACCATATTTTCATGTTCAGCTCCGCAAACAACCCCTCAACTCTTTTTCATAACCATTCTCTGATTTGTAGTTCCTTCCTTCCTTTGTCCTTGATAAAGCAGAGATGTGAATTGTAGCCATACAAAAAATCCATTTGCTAAATGAAAGCGAGCCAAGTTGTAGTTTTTGTTTTAATAGAGTGCGTTGTTTTTTGTTTTATTCGTTTCGTTTGTTTTATATTTTAAATATATTGTTTAATATGCAGCTATAATAGTTACTTTTAAATTTGAATACTACATTGTTTTCTTTAAACTTTAATTTGCATTTATCATTATTATGTATTTTCACGTTTTAAACTAAAACTTTAAACTAATTTTTGTTGTTGTTGCTCCAATCCCCCCTCCCATCCATCCATCCCTCCATCCATCCTTCAATATTTCCTTCCGTACAACGTTTTCTATTTCTTTTGCTACACTATGGTGCTATAAATTGTGGTTGTTCTTGTTGTTGTAGTTGTTATTGTTGTTAATAATAAATATACAATAATTCTGAACAATTTGCATAATGCGGCTGCGCGTTTAAAATTGTTGCTCGTCTGTCTGTTAGACTAAAACTATATAATACAAAAAAGTCTTGGCTTTAAAATATATGTATGTATATATATATATATATGTATATATATAAATTGTTTATAAACAAAATAATTAAATTATTTTGCGCTGGTTTACAGTTTTGTTTTGTTTGTTGTTTTGAAAAACACACACACATAAATAAACATAAATAAAATTAGAGTGGCATTTTGTACTCCAACTGCGGCATCGAGTCTTCGAATTGGGAAAACGCGCGCGAAACGCGTCCAATTGCCAAATGCGTTCACAGTGCGTTTTTGTAGCGTTTGTTGCTGTTGCTGCTTCTGCTGCTTCTGCTTCTGCCCGCAAGCCTTTCATAAGAAGCCCATATCGAGGGCGGTGTAGAGAGCGCGTATATCGCTGTGTGCCGAGATCCGCCAGAAGGGGAAATTCATGGTCTTGGCAGCGGCCTCCTCTTCGGCGCCATCGCCGACCACCACATACGTGCTCTTGCGTCCGAAGCGCGTCACAATGCGCTCATAACAGGTCTCCTGGCCTAAACCCGAAAGAGAGACAGGGAGAGAGAGAGAGAGAGACGATTAGCATGCATTAGAAGAGCTGGAGTTCGTGCTCTCCTTCACTCACCGATCTTGTGCGCGCTGTAAATGTTCTCAATGCTGAAGATGCTGCCCAAGCCGAAGAGCAGCACTTTGGCCAATGCGGGAGCCAGCTGCGTCGAGGTGACCAGCACATTGACGCAGTTCTCGCGCTGAGCAATCATGCTGATGCACTTGAGGGCCAGGCTCGCCCAATTGTCGGTGGCCACCTCGATGTCCTGCCGTATCTGCAGCCATGCCTCGCGCTTGCCCTGCCCCAACAAGGTGCCCACACTGCGAATAAAGAGAGAGAGAGAGAGAGAGAGAGGGATTGTTTTAGTAAAGGATAGTTAACTATTTAATAAGGAGACTGCTTTTCCTCGATAAACATGATAAATAATTATATAAGAAGCAAAAATTAACGAGCTCAAATGTTCATCAGCATCCTACAATTTTCATCAAAGGATCTTCTAAAAAAAAAATAATAATAATAATACACACTTTTATGAATATAACTAAATACACATACGTTATTAACAATATACGTGTATATAATTAAAGATAAGTATAGTAGACTTTCGTTAGTTAACACTAGGCTTCATAAATACATGATGAAAATATATTCAAGTACTTATGTATGCTATTCATACTCTAGACTGATTAGATCAAAATATATTAGAAATTTAGAAAAGATGGGGCGATATTGAAACTAAGTGGTGGTTTCATAAATTCCCGATCATAGGCAACATTTTGGCTGTTTTTGTTTGTTGACTATTAATTTCTGTTAATACTTGTACTTCAAAAATATATAAGGATCCCTATCCTCAGGAGTATATAGTCAAACCATAGTTTTGATACGACCATTCATATACATATGCAATAGAATAGTTAATTAAAATATGAACCGCAGTAGCACTGGTTTCATTATATCTTGATGATTACTGATATGAACAATAAAAGTAAAAGTTTTTTCTTTATTAAATTAATTGATTTTCATAATACAGGTGGGAATTTTGCTCCAAATTCTCGATTTTAGCTCAGCTTTTATCCCTTTTTTAGTCAAGAAGATGGAATGCTTTGTCAACACTAGCTGGGTTCAAACAGGCAAACAATTTGTTCACAAATTTTGTCAATTTCCACAACTATGTGGAATTAATTAATTGTACTTAAATAAAATATTACAGAAAACCTCTTTGAGATTTATGCTTCAAGTTAGAATTGTATATGTAATTGACAAACTTTGTGTGCAAATTATTTGCGCGCCTGACCACAACAAACCTCCATTTAAATGCATATTCTCAAATTCTACAAGTATGTGAAGATTTTATTGTACTTTTATTCAAATCTTGATCCAAATGCCCTGACAAATTTATGTGGAAATTGTTTGTGTGTCTGACCACAACAAACCTCTACTTAAATACATATTCTCAAATTCTACAAGTATGTGAAGGCTTTAAGTGTACTTTTTTGTGTGCAAATTGTTTGTGTGTCTGACCAGTAGTTAAAACGTCATACTCACTTATTTCTGTAGGCATTGTAGATATCCTTGATCTTGCGATAACGGAAGGCGAGTTTTCGCATCCAATCGACACCGCCCCGCACACCGGTGGGCAGGCAGAGGTTAGGTGGTGCGCCGGCTGGGGTGCCCGTGTTGAAACCGTCTGTGGCGAAGTTGTAGGTGCTCAGGTCCTGTCCATTATCATCGGAGCTGACATCGTCGATGTGGACCTGATCGCACTCCTCGATGTCGTTGAAAAAGAAATGCGTGTCGGCCAGATTGAAGACCATCTCCTCCATGCGGAAGCCGATGGTCATCAGGGTGCTGTGGTCTTTGGTATAACGATTGGCATAGCTGCCCGATAGCAGGGTGTGAAAGATGATGAGCGTCTCATCCAAATCCCAGATGAAGACACGCTCCGGCGGCTTCACATCCGAACTATTGCCCGTATCGGAGGCGGTGCTGCGCGTCGGACTTGGCTGCTGATGGCGCCGTCCACGCGCCCGCCCACTCTTGCCCGTGGGCGTGGACTTGCTCGGCACAGCCCCAGGACCTGCCGACGTAACTGTGGCGGTGGCGCTACTCACGCTGCCGCCACTCGAGTTGAGCGCGGCGGCCACACTAACCGCACCACCGGCGGCGGCGCCCACAACTGCAGCAGCCGCCGCATGGGTTGGCGAGATCGCGGCGAGGGGCGAGTGCGGCGAATGGGTCGCCTGATGTACGGGCGTGGTTGAGTGCGTGTCTGTGGGGCTCTCGCTCAGATTGGAGGAGGCGGCCACATGGAAACCATGGCTGGCACTCGAGCTGGGCGAGCTCACGGCGTACGGCGAATAATTGGCCGGATTATAATAATTCCCATACTGATCATTATAGTAGCCGCTGTAGTCCTGCTGCGCCGCCGCCGCCGCCGCTGCCCCGCCCCCGAACTGGGCAAAATTATTGTAGCTCGCATACGGATTGCTGTACAGCTGCGAGCTGGTGCTGTTGTTGTTGCCGCTGGCATAGCTGGGCGCCAAGTAGGCCGCCGTGCTCGGCTCCATTTTGGCTGAGCGCGCTGCGGCGGCGGCCGAGCTGGCGGCTGCCGCATAGGGCGCCCCATAGCTGGAGTAGAAGGGCGGCGTATATTGCTGCATGCTGTTGTAATAATAATACGAATCGTGCTTGCCGTCGTAGACGGCCGCCGCTGCTGCCGCCGCCACCGCCGAGCTGTTCACCGCCGCTGCCGCCGCTGCTGCGCCGCTGTCGCAGCTATAGAGATTGGAGCTGGCGGCCAGCGATGTTGCCGCAGTCGCCGAGACGCCGTTGTCGAGCACGGCGGCATGTGCCGGCGAACGGGACTCGGACTTGACTGCAGGCAGGTGTTGTTGTTGCTGCTGCTGCTGCTGCTGTTGTTGTTGCTGCTGCTGCTGCTGCTGTTGTTGTTGTTGCTGCTGCTGCTGCTGGACAGCCACGGCGGCAGCGTTGCTATCGTGCCAATGGGAGAGCGTGGCGTCCACGCCGGCGTCCAGCGGGTTGCCCGCGACCTGCTGTTGATGATATGTGGAGAAGCTGCTGGCGGCCGATTGAGCGAAGGAGCTGAGCGCGGGCGCCAAGCTGCAGCTGCTGGCATTTGAAGTGTGTCCCACGCCCAGGCCGGCTCCCAAGCCCGCTCCCAGGACAGCGCCACTGCTGCCATAATGACCGCTCAGCGAGGCCAGCGAGCTTATGGTCGGCTGCAGCGGCTGGCTCTGTGGCGGCAGGCCCAGCGGACTGCATTGGCCAACCACGCCCACGCCCACTCCAACGCCCACGCCGAGGCCGGCACTGCTCGGCCCATTGCTGGCCAACACGCTGCCGCTGCTGGTTGCCTGCAGATGTGAGTGTGTTTGTTGTTGTTGCTGCTGCTGCTGCTGCTGTTGTTGTTGTTGTTGCTGCTGCTGCTGCTGATGCTGCGACAGAGTAATGGTCTGAGCGCAAAGCCTGCAAGAGATAAAAGAATAGAGGAAGAAACAACGATTAACAAAAGTAATTAAACTCAACTTGTAATATAGACATTCTTTCGAGATTAGTTGCAATGCTTTATAATTCATATTCGCATTATTCGTTAAATATTTTTTCATATTCCCATTATTCGTTAAATATTAATGCTTTAAGATGAAAGTTGAAAATCAGAAACTGATATTAATGTTAAGTATTATTTATTTATTGATATTAAGTATTTATTTTCCATTTCTTTAATTCTGGATGTCTGAATTCCGAATAGATTTTATTTATTTATTTCACAAATACCTGTAAATATTAATATTAAACTTTTTAAAAATAAAAAAGACTCAAATTTAATCGAATTACCACCATTTTTAAAAAAGTAAAGATTTTTATTCAGACCTCAAGAAGTTATCACTTCAACATCTACACTTCAGCATCCTTCGTCTACACGAAGACTTCATCCTTGAAGAATCTGGTTCTTGCGATGTTTTCCCAAATACTCTTTAGCCAAATCAAGCAAGGATGCTTGTCAAGTTAAAGTAAAATATCTGGATTATTTGGGTGCTGCAAGGCTCGATTCGCTCAGTTTTACACTTTTGTGAACTCTGAGCATAAATCGTCCTGTTTGAAGTCGAAAATGCTAGCAATTAGTCGACTATTGTGGCAATTTTTATGTTTTTTATGTTATGTTTTTTTTTTTAAAAAGCTTAGCTTTCTACTTCTTCGAATGTCAGTGGTTTAATAATCGGTCAACAAAGATTAATTTATTTGTATTTAAATTCGTAGCAAAGATGAAATGGTGCCAAAGCGTATATCTTGAAAATTTAAAATGTCGGCTTTCGAATAATTTACGAGCATAAAGCAAGTAAATAATAATTATAGTATATTGCTTAGTATATTACTTAGACAGTATTTAATTGGCAACAGACTTTGTAAAGAAAACAAATTACAATGCAATATATTTATAATTTTGAAACATTTTTTCTGCCGTACATTTTTTAGTTGACCCGGTTTGCATTTTCAAAGCTCCGTAAAACAAAGAACTGCACATATATTTAAAATCCCAGTCAAAGTTTAATTAAGCAGGACCATCAAAAATTTTCCAAGCAATTTATTTCCCCTTAAGAAGAAAAATTGTTCAATATGAATTACAAATAGACACAATTTGTTTAAATAGGCTTTATTCGAGCTTGCAGAGATACGATTACTTGTATATATATTTTATTATAATTGAAAAATGTGTAAGTAACTTAATTCGATTTTAAAACGATAAAAAAAGAAATAACTATTTTCTAGTGGCCATAGCTTACAAATGTTTATTGTGGAAAGAGATGCGTTAAAAAACATTTATTTTCGTATTTGAATGTTCTGCTCTAAAAGGCTATTAAATTTTATTAAAAAATTTGGAAAAAAATAATTGAAATTCAAGATTTTTTGTCAACTTGACGGAAGGACTCAAGCTAAAGAACATTGGGCTCTGATCTAAAATATGCTTTCATTTTTAGTTTTGAAAATTAAAAATGTTCAAATCAATGGGAATACGATACAAAAATATTTGAATTTATTGCTCAAAATGTTCAAGTACTGCGTTATCTTAGGAGAAACCCTGGTCCAAAAACTCCAAAAACTGTATCCGAATAGCGTTTAAATTTTGTAATAAATGTAAAAAAGGAATCAACTGTATTCAATATTCAAAAAGACCCTTTGCAGGTCCTCGAAAAAGACTGCAGATGGAGAGAGAGAGAGAGAGAGAGAAAAAAAGGCTCGTTAGGCCAACTCATAAAATAATTTCGAATAATTTTGAAATGCTCATAAAATTAACGGCACGCAGTTGTCGACTATAAGGCTATATATGCCAGATATTCGGCAGCCCTAAGTCAAGAGTGTCGCAGCCTCGGGCACAGGCACAGGCACAGGCCACTCATCTAAGTCTTGTCAAGTGTTATAAATATTGTTCCACTTGCCTTTTGTTGTTGTTGTAAGGCCAATGGGCAAAAAGAAGAGGAAGAGGGAAAACTGTTTGAAATGCCTCTTTGGCGAGGCACCGAGCCACTTGACAACGTGTGTGTACGAGTCCGTCCGTCCCTCTATCCGTCCGTCCCGCAGTACCGACATTCCTCCATATGTGCAGCAAATGTTGTTAAGAAATTTGTCGCACATTAAATGTGACTTGGCTTGTTGCCCTTTTCAAATTAGAATTATTTTTTAACTACTTGAAGGCGAGCTTAGCTGCAAGCGAAGCCAGCAATAAAAATCGAATCAACATTTAGACGAACATTTAAAATAAATCAAAACTTTAACGAAACACAAACGAAACAAAACAAAACTCAATCAATGATGCGAGGCCTCAATAAATAAATGTAATATTGTAGCCAGTTTTGAGTGTTTTTTTCTTGCTCTTGTTTTTTTTTGGGAACTGTGCTGGTAATTTAATCCTTTTCGTCTGCAATTAAATGGAGTTGCTCGTCTGATGGGCGGACGAATGGACGAACGGACCGGCACACATAACACCGTTATAGTAACTAGATGGCTACAAACAAACACAGACACACAGACAGACACCCAGTCAGCTGACTCTTCATTTGTTTATATACGACTATATACAATATACATATACATACAAGTATATGTATAGCTTAGTGTGTGTGTTGTTGTCTCTGCTCCGCATAATTAATCAATTTTGTATGCGCTGCCCCACATGAAGAGGATCTTTCAAACTTTCAGATGCAGAATGTAGTGCCAATATTATTTTAATTTCAAGTTCAATGAAAATTAAGTCCTTCTTTCCGAGTTATATTAAATGAACTTAATTCTGAACTTGTACTATTTACAATATTTGAAAACTTAAAGCATGATATAATTGCGAAAAAAAATTGTCGAGTTTCACAAATAAGTTATTAATAAAATGTGAATAGAATTAATTAAGTAAGGCAATATTGTAAGCCTTATTTTTAAAATTTGTAGTAAATCTTTACAGCACTCTCGTGCACATTTCGAAACCCACTTTGAACTGCCTTCAAACTAAGCGAAAACCCCTTAAAGACCCTTTCGATAGAAAAATAAATTTTTTGGAAAGATTGCAGCTGCAGAAGAAAATAAAGAATACTCGCTCCTGTCTGATTCACTTTTCAGTGCCATAATTATTATTCTTATATTATGGAGGCTCTTGATTCACTCAGTTAGTTTATTTGATTAGTAGATTTGAGGAGTATGCGATAATTATTAATTCCCGCATGCGCGTAACCTGCCACAGCCTCTATAGACGTTTCCAATCCGCTAATACTTATGATGTCTTCACAGATCGGCTGCAAGAAAATGTTCTTAAAATTCTTACTATTGACCTCTCTAGAGACGACTCCTACTATGCTCCTATTCTGGTGACAGGTTGGCTGTGCATCGTTAATCGACCTACACTACTAATTCTATATTTCTTTAATTTATTTATATTTTGAATATTTATTCCGAAGCATTACAGTATAACGGTATTTGGAGAACACTCTTTCGTAATGATTAAAGAATCCGAAGTCATTTATTTGTGGATGGCATAAATAAATATTGAATATATATTGAAAACTCAAATTTCCAACTATCCAAAGAAAGAGATATGTCAATATCTGTGTATTATTAAAAAAAAAACTTGTTCTCTCTACACAATTACTTTCGATTTCATTGACTAAGCAACTTAAGTGAAGAGCTTTTATCGACCGTTTATTAAAGAATAAATCGCAATAAATAGTGAATGAAAATAAACAAACAAAAGACTGTTTAAATGCATTTCCAATTTACAAATTATGATGTCTGCTACACATTCGAAAAGGGAAACACATTTCAATCGGATCGCTTGCCACCTTAGAGCGCATTCACAGCGTCGTTTATGCCCCAACCATGCAGAGATTTATGTCTCAATTTTTTTTATGCCCCGCTATGTATCATAAAAGAGTTCTTTCTCCCCTTTTCCATAATTTCACATAACAAAGGCAACCACAACAACAAGAAGGAGAGTGAATATATAATAATAATTAGGATGGCTGGTAAATTTAGAGCCCAATTTCCCCGGGAATTCGACACCTCAAGTTTGGGGACATTTATCTTAGCCGCTGTCAAGGAGTTGTGGGGGAAGGGCGCGTGCGCTGAGCGGGCAGGAGGGCCGACTATTGTGCCTAAATAATAAAGTATTCAATTATTGTCATAAGTATACTATATATTTTTGTAAACAAAAGGTCTACTGCTGCTGCTGTTGCTGCCTTTTAAGGCTCTCTCTCTGCTAAGCCTAAGCTCCTTCGCCTTCGCCTTTCCCGGCCTTTCCTTTCATTTCATTCATATACACGTATGAGCTGGGCTGCCAAGTGTTAAGTGCTGACACTTTTGCTCTTTCATGTGTCTCGGCTCGGAATTCTTTGAATTCCTTTGCACATGTGTGGGACTTAGGGACCCAGATGCAGACATGCAAAATGCTGCCTTCGAATTCATTTGAAAGCAATTGAAATTTGTCAAACAATTTATGGGCACTTGTTGCCGTTAAGTGTGAAGAAAAAAGAGGCAAATCGCGCTCCGACTGTTACAAATCGTTTACGCTTACAACTAGGCATTATGGCATATGGTTTATGGCCAACGGTCCACATTCGTAGTACGTACCGGTTCCGTTCATGTGTATCCGTATGCTCTGTTTTGGGACGTTTAACCTGCAAGTAATGAAAAGAATTCGTTAATAAACACACTCACAAGCACTGCAGGCCTCATCATTATATAAAAAGTGGGGGGAAATTGCGCGATTTTTGCTGCCGAACTCAAAATCTGTTTATAAACAATCGAAAGAGTGAGGCAGCGCCGACACCTTCAGTGCGCATTCAAAAATGCCGATTTCTGCACTTTAGCGACATTTTATTTATTTGTAGTCTTCGGGCTTCTGTTTGAAAATAAAAACAGTGCAGACAGAAGACAATCAGAGTGAAGAAAACAGCACATTTTACATAATTCGCAATTGCCGTCTGAGTGCCGCAGTCAGCATTTCCATCGACTCGCTGGACGGTGCGTGGGAAAACTTTTATTGGGTTGCTTGCGGCGCCATTACCATAACCATTACCTTCTGGGGGCCGATGTCGCCGATGTCGACGATGTCGCCATGTGACGACAATTCGTTGCGGTTTGGTTGGTGTTGAAACCCTATTGAGGGTTTCTTTCCGAACTCGCACGCACAGCAGGTAGTCGAGCGATGAGAAGAGGCGAAAAAATAAAATAAAGGTAGGATGTTCTGCAGAAGCTTGCAGATACAATGCCGATAAAGAACAGCCAGAAGGACTGACTGGCTAGGGTGTTAGAAAAACATGCACATTCAAGAGCCTTCCAAAAAAGGCAGTGAAGTTCTGCAGCAACTATTGGAAAAGCTTAATCCGTAAACCTTATCAGCGGATATAAAGATTAAGTTGTGTATATAGTTTCTAATTTTATGATTAATTGTTTGCCATTTTATAGAACTCCTTTCGAAAGCTATTGGACATGGATTAAATAGTCAACTAATGCCGTCATTTATTGCGATTTCCTTCAATCATCTATTTAATTTAGGGAAATATTTAGTTATACATAGTATGTATGTATATTACGTCTTCATTAAAGGAAGCTTGGGATTTCTTCGCCACAAATATATATAAGTACAAGTATATATACGTGTATTCAAAAATGCAAGACAAACACTTTAAAAAAATTCGTTTTAACAGACAAATAAAATGTAAAAAATAAATGCCAAAAGTAAATAAAAATAAGAAAAAATGCAGAAAACTGAATTTGAATATAACAAGAAAAAATTACAATCTTGAATTGCAAAAAAGTAATTTTAATAAAATCTTGAATCAATATTAAAAGTCAAAATGAATAGAAAAAAGCATAAAAAGAATTTTTTAAATGAACAAATAAAACTGAAAAAAAATAAATTAAATAAAATAAAAATGAAATTAAAACAAAATAATTTGTAATATGAAGAAATCTATGAAAAAAGAATCAAATTTAGTCGAACTAGAATTTATATAGAAAAAGATTTATCAAAAAAAAGGCTTTAATACATACTTTAAAGCCTATTATTGATATTATTCATGTAGAATTCAGTTTTCATCAATTTTTTCACATTTTTCAATCTGGAACCAGTGAAAATGTCAAGCTTTTACTTAAATTAAATTAATTTAAATTTTTTTACTAAGCAACAGTTACTTTAAGCCACAACTTACATTTCAGAAATGCGTAACTTGTGGTGAGTTTTCAAATCTTAAGCGCAAACCTCAATGCTTGTTTTATTCAAATTATTTTTCGTATATTTTAATTTTTATTTACTATGCAATAGGTACTTTAAGCCTCAGTTAAGCCACAGCTTACATTTCACAACGCATTTATCGTGAGTTTTCTAATTTTATTCAAATTCAAATTATTCTGCTGTATTAAAATTCTTTTTCGTTCTATAAATTCTAAAGTTTTTTTTTAGTGGCAGAATATAGTATGTGGGTTTAATGTTGAATACAGAAGGGGGCACTGCTTGACTTCTTTTTTGTTGAATAAGCAATATAAAGGTTTATTAATTTTCGCAATTTTTTAAATTTTAAATTAACTTTCTTTTTTATTTATTTGAGTTCCTGGCGTTGACCTTAGACAGTCCTCACTGTTCGCAAATTAAAATTTCATAAATTCTTAAAATTAATTTTTATTTCTTTTTTATTTATTTGAGTTCGGGCGTTGACCTTAGACAGTCCTCACTGTTCGCAAATTTAAATTTCATATTTGTTTTAAATTAAAAATTAATTTTTATTTCTTTTTTATTTAGTCCTCACTGTTCGCAAAGCTCTTCTAATGCGCTGACAAGCGCTGTGCCGCCTGACAGCCCACCAGCAAATATTTGTGCCTGCTGGGCTGCTGCCTTGGGCTCTGTGGGCAGTACACAGCTTTCTCATGCTCTCTCTCTCTTTCTCTCTCACTCTCTCTCTCCCTCTCACACCCCTTGCTGACCACACACACACACGGCCACTTTTTTGGCAAATTGAAGTCGCGTGCGTGTGTGGATGTGTATGTGCGATTTTGAAGGCAGCAACGGTAGCGTTTAAAAACGCGTCGCAAGTCGCGCGTGCGTCGCGCAGCCAGCTGTCCGCTGCCCAGCTGCCCGGCTGCCCGGCTGCCTTCTGATGCCTGAAGTTGTCAAAAATATGTTACTGTTACGTGTGGAAGCTGTTGCGCTTGCGTGTTGCAAGCTGCTGTTGGGGCTGCGATTGCGGCTGTGACTGCCGGACGGGGACTGGCGGACTGTCGGACTGCTGGACAGCTGGACTGCCGGCAACTGGACGGCAACTGAAATGCAAAACGCAACGTACCTTTTGCTAAACTAATTTATGGCACAAGTTGACAACGTAAACATTAACACAAGGAACGCAACAACAACCCATGCTGCCTCATCAAGCCTACATACTTATAAATATATACATACACACTAGTATGTATGTATGTATGTATGTATGCACGTGTGTGTTTATAAAGACCTGTTTGAGCATCTTTAACGAAATTCCTGTGATCGTAATCTTTTGTCTCTCTGCTGCTTTAGAAGAAGATTAAAACAGACAGAGCCCGGGCAGAGCAGAGCGCAGACAAAAGACAGCAACAATAACAATAACAACAGCAGCAACAACAACAGCAACAACAACAACAATGAAGGTGTAGACGACGACGACGACGACGACAAATTTTTTATTAACTCGCCCGCGTAGTTGTTCTGAAGTTCTCTGAGTTTCTCCGTTGTTGGCCCTAAGCCCCAAAAGCGATAAACATCGAAATAAACAACAAAAATTTGTACATTTCAACTGTTTGTTGTTATTGTTGCTCCCTCTGTTTCTTCGTACTTGTATGTATGTGTATATATTGTTTGTTGTTTGTTGTTTGTTGTGTTTTCCTTTCGGCCGACCTATGCGCCTTAACACTTTGGCACGTTAATTACGTGGGACAATCGCCGAGTGTCAATCGCTGTGGCCATAATCAATATTTTGACTGAGAGCGATCGTGTGCGAAGGGGCTGGGTGCTGGGGGCTGGAGGGGGCTGGGGAGTGGGGGAAGCCCCGCCGCACATAAATTACATGCAGCGCGCATTGTCGCAGTTGAATTATGGCGTGTTAATTTTTACGATTACGGCTTAAACTTAATTAAAATGTGATTAATGTCGAAGTCATTCCGAACTGATTCCTCTTTTATTCTTCACTCTTCTGTTGCCTTTTTGTTTTTGGTTTGTTTTTGGTTTCTTTTTGTTTGGCAGCAGCTCTTTAAATTGTCATAAAGCCCGACGACTGCGGCTGCTTATTTATGCTCTATTAATATTTCGCCTTAAACTTGACTGCCATTCGTCCATTCATGCATCCATTGGCCGCTTCGTGCCCTTTCCACGGTTCTGCCATTCTTTGTTTTAGGCCCAAAACTGAGCCTCCGGCTTCTGCTGCTGCGGCGGGTCATAAAAGTTGTTGGAGTTCGAGTTGTAGTTGTAGTTGTTATTGTTGTTGTTTTTGTTGTTGTCGAGACTTGTCGTTCCTCATTTGTTGCACCATTAAAGTAAACACACTTTGAAATCGTTGACTGGAAACAATGATTACAAGGACTATGATGAACTAAAGCAGCGCTTAAAACCCTATGGCCGGCTGTTTAATGGGCTGCTTGGTTTGATTTCGTTTGCTTTTTGTAATTTTTAGGAACAGATTCAGAAACGGTTCTCATGCCATTTAAAAAAGAGTTAAATTATTTAAATTTCAGGACGTCCTAGACAGTCCAGAAATATGCATTAGGCTTATCGGATTGTAAGTATGACTATGTATATTTTGTGGTTAATCACTCAGTATTTAGATTCGAAACTGTATGCTAAATGAAAATTGTAATTAAAATTAAAGTGCTACACAATTAATTTGCACAACAACTCAAAACTTTGAAAGCTTGACAAACAAGAAAGCATGAATTTTAAATATTCTATCGCCTTTTTCCTTCAACATAACTTTGTTTTTAATATTGTTTTCCTTTCAAAAGAATTTGATGCTACTCTTTATGCATTGCAATTAAATATTAACCATTTTCATTGCAGTGATAGCTTTTAAAAGTCTTCCAAGATACTAAATATTATTTAGTGTCTCGTTTCAGACAAATGTAGTAATCGTATAATTGCCAGCAAACTACATAATATCGTTTTTAAGTATTAGAAACTTTACATTTTTCAAAGAAAGTCAATATATGTTTAAACAAATTTACATTTTGACCAAGACTTGTTCAATTCACAAGACTTTAATGGGATCCGCAAATAAAATCCAATAAACGGCTTTGAAAATTTGACTTTTGTTTGTTAGTATGTTTAAGATTAGGATTTGATTAAGTTTTTATTTTCGATTATATGTGCTACAAAATTATCTAACTGACTAATTATGTATGGTGGTTATATTTATTTTATAGGAGACGAATATTTGGCAGCTTAAATATAAACTGCTACTCATTTTTCGATAATTAACTTTTTTAATAGAAAAATGTTATTGCCAGGGTGTTTAAGATTGTTGTTTATTAAAAAGTACAGTAAATTTCTGGCTAACTGCTCAGAAGAAAAGCTTCAATTTATTGTTTTCATTTAGACATTATTCAGATCTGCTGTATTCGAAATTTGTTTATGATTATGAAGTTAATGTTTTAATTGTAATTGATTGTGGTTTGTCTGTGAATTGAAAAAATGTTAAGGATCATTAAAAAGAAAACACATTTTATTTTATGAACAAAAATGGAAGTAATATCATATGAAAAACAAAGTAAATTGTTTCCTAAATATTACGTATCATTAAAGTAAATTTTTATAAGAATGTTTTTTCCACCTTTATATTGGAGATACTATATATATAAATATGTAGTATATCTCTAGCTGATAGTTATATTATATTTAAGAAATTCGCTTATTTCTGGACTATACCCCTTCATGAATTTAAAAGCAATAAAAATATCGTTTAGTCTATGCCTTTAATTCCTTTAAGAAGTTATTAAACACTCTTAGAATAGCATTTAGCACCATTTCTTTGAAATAGAAAGTTTACAGTCCCGTATCGTTTCGTATTTTATGGAATTAAATGATGGATTAGCGGCTTAGATTTGTTAAGATTCTTCAAATTTGAAATATTACTTAAAACGTAGCAATTAATTATATATAAGACAGTTCTACCACTACATTAGACACCTTTGTTTGATGTAGTGAGTTGGTAAATCATCATAGTGTTCGAATTTTTTGGAGTTATAATATCGGTTAGTCGACATCTTTGAATTCTTTAAATTACAAATGTTGACTTACAAGTAGAATAGCCATAAAACAGTTATAAGGTACCATTAATTATAGTTTAGTGGACAGTTGGCAATCATCTATAGTTTTGTGTACATATTTATTTGTCGATATATTCAGTTATATATATCACATAAGTATTATTTGTTATTATAAAAGATTTTTATTTAAGATACTACATATTTTGTCGATATCTTTATATTCTTCAAATTTCAAAGATTGACTCCAAACGCAGCACTCCATGCTTAGAAAAGAGTCCTCCCTAACATTTGGTAATATTTATCATCAACTTCATCTTCAAACTATCAAACCTTATCTATTTCATGTTATATACAGTTCTACCATTTATATGAAGCATATTTGAAAGATTCCTGTCTATCTTAGTAAGCCCCAACATTTATCTTTAACTTCATCTCCAAATTATTGCCCAGATCATATCATTTGCATTTTATCTTGGACTGTCTTATTATTAAACTTCATCTGCATCCTCAAGCTATGGCGCCATCTTATCTTGGGCAATTCTGGCATTTATCTTTATCTCCATCTGATAGTTTCCATATTAACTTCGACTAATGATTCATTTGTGTTGCTCTTTAACACTAGTCCTAACTAATCGTTATAGCATTCAAAGCCACAATTTGAACAACAACAACAACTAAACAATGACAACCATCAGGGAAAACTTCACAGACACTTAAACAAAAACTCGCTCCACCGACGAAGCCACAAAACTGTTCAGAAAACCGCCGACGGCTGCGTAGGAAAGCAAATCACAAGCCTTTGATTAACCACACTACTATATACTTGTACATATGTACATATATGTACATATATGCTATATGTATGTGCTTTATTGTTGCTCATGGACAAGCAAACTTTGCGATTAGGCAATAAATAAATTATGAACGGAATTAATATTAGAATTCCAGCATTCAATGCACCGTCAAAAGCCGACTCTAATTTATTTATTGAAGAATGTAATTAAAATATTTACAATTTTAATGGTAGATTGAATTTAAATTATTTGTTAAAATTCATAAAAACATTTACAATTTTAATGGTTGATTGAATTGAAATTGTTTGTTTACCTTTGGCTCTATCATTTTGTCGATTAATCCACAGCGTGCCGCTGCATAGTTATAGGGCATTAGGGTGACCATTTTGCGTGCTGTTTTTAATTTCTACGCCCACGCAACACACTCACACACGTGTTCTCACACTCACTCACACACACACGCACGCACACGCGTAGTGCGCAGAGCACGCGATTTGCGCTTTGGCTTTTGCTTAATTTGTTATTTTGTTCCTATGTTTTGTAATTCAATGCGCGCCAATTGATTAACATAAAATAACAACAGCAACAACAAGAGTAACAAGAACAATGCACGAACGAACAGCAACACCAATGCAATACACGCACTTAAATGGCTGGCTAGCCACCAATGTTTTTAGCTTTTGCGAAATTATAAGAACCTTTAGGCACTCTCTTTTTGTTTTTCTTCTTCTTCGTTTGCTTTTCTTAGTCGTCGTCGCCGCCACCGTCGCACGTTACGTTCGCTCTGAATAACTCGACTCAACTGATTGCTGGCTGGCCCGCTGCTCGCCTGAAGGAAGCGTTGCCAGCGGCTACGATGACGACGGCGACGACGTCGCTTTGAGCGCTTTCTGGCACTCTCTGAGTGCAACAAATCACAGCGAGTGTTTGCATTGGTGCTTGTTTGCACTCAAAACGAGTTTGAGTGAGCGGTGCACTGAGGCTATTGCCGCACTGCTCACACACTACCAACAATGGTGTGTGTGCGCTGTTGGTTGGCTCCGCCCTTTGAGGCCCAGCAACGGGGTGGGTCGTCATTGCCGTTGCCGTCGCCGTCACCGACGCCGCTGCTGTCGACTGTTAGACATTTTTTTTTTCGTTTTTGAAACAATGGCACTGTCAATCAAACAGCCGCGAGCGTCGCCATTTGAGAAATGCGCATAAATTAATTAATAATTCAAATGGCTTAATGAAAACGAAGAGGAAGCAGAGGAGCAACATTCGCCATTTCCATTAATAAACCAAATTATACAAATTAATAAACTAATCATACAAATGAATAATTGTTGTTGCCACACCATTGCCATTGAAACCGAACTGAAAATCAATTTACAATCGAAACCGCCAACGATTTTTATGAGCATGCGGACGGCCATTTGGAAATTCAAAACGTTTGAAAGTTTTTGAAGTTTTTCTTCATTATTCAGTTCTTCCTTCTGTGACAGTCATTTGTTTGTTTTTTATTATTTGTGAGACGGGTAATTTAAAGCGCAACATTAAATCAAACATGGCACATGCTGCAGGCCCATGGGACCCCTTCCCCCCACCACAATGAAAAACGATCCAAAGTGTGGCCATATATGAATGGTTTTAAGTTCGGCAAACATATATGTACGTGTGAGTATCTATGTATGGATATTTGTTGGCGGCCATGCGATATAGAACGAGTGCCATCAACTAATTGGCGTCTAATCATAAACCAAAATTTGATTCATTCTCATATTCCTGGCAGCGGCATAGAAGAAGCAACGACCGATATAAGAACCGAAGGGGAGGGGAAGCAACATCGACAACATCAGTGCTACTTAAAATTGATAATTCCAAACACCCTTATTAATTTCTAGCAGCCCCTATATATGTTCGCACATCATAGATGAGAAAAACGCATAAATTTTAGCTTTTTTTGATATGCACAAATAGCTAACAATTTCTTTGAAGGAATAGGGCATACATAATATTTGTTTAGTTTTGAATCACATTGTCTTAAAATAATACTTGAAAAGTTCTTCGGAAGAAACTTAAAAAACACATTGATTTTCTTCTTAAATATTTATGAACTTTTCTGTCTTAAGTAAAGACAACCAAAAGGGCATCAAATGGGCTTTTTAAGGCCTAGTGTAGGGGCGGGAACAACGCTCTACCTAAGTTTTATCTTTCTCTTAGACTTTGCAAAACCCCTTTATAAGTATTGGGGAACCGAAAAGAAATAAGACCAGATTTATAACCAGTATTAAAATTCGTCTAATTAACCATTTCAATGCCTTATTTGATAGCTACATTCCCCAACTCTACAATATATATGCAAAAAATGCCCCATTCACAGATGAATTTCTGTATAACTATTTCCGAGTTTCCAACTTATTTCCAATTAAATCCAATCCGCAGTTATATTAATTTTTTTTTTAAACTATTGTTAATTTTTAATGAAAATATTATTTACTAGCTTGTATATCTGATTTCTATGCTAAACTCCTAAAGTATTAAAAACAATGGCAGCTATAATGGACTCCGAAAGCGACTGTTTGGAGGTTTCCAAAGTTTCACAGTTTTGGGAAGCCGTAAGACCTGCCTAGAGCTCCATTCCGCTCCAAAAATAATAAAATCTCGTGGAGCCAGGTATAGCATTTATTTAATTTATTTAAATGTTATCATTTTACCCAAGCCTGGTAGCCTTTTATAACAAAATCAACCCGTATAACTCCACAGTAGAGGAGCAACAGATTTGAAAAATAATAATAATATTTTCAAGTTCTAGAAGCCACTTTTTTCTTCTGACATTTGTAAATAATTTTACAGTACAGTTTCATTTCATTTCATTGAATGTTTTCATAATGAGGTTGCCTCACAGAACGATTGTTGAACACTCAGAACTTTTGGGTCAATGGGTTAAGACATGAAGCATTAGCGGAAGCTTTCACGTCAGCGTTTCCCAACGGCTTGACGTCAACAACTTCCGCAACAATTTGGCAAACGTGTTGCAAATGCCAATACGGTTGTTGCTGTTGTTTCTGTTGTTGCTGCTGCTGCTGCTCAATTGGCCAATTTTAGTTGTAAAAAGCATTTGTTTATAACATTTGGCGAGTCACTTGACATATTTGGTCTTAAATTTCAATCAAAACATTTGTGAAGTATCGCAAAAAATAAATCAAGAGGGAACGGGAGACAGACAAAAGGACCACAAAATTCAATAATTATATATAAATACTTATACATTTATATAGTATGTATGTATAGTATGTGTGTGTGTGTGTGTGTGTGACTGTAGCTCAGATTTCTATATGGCTCATTGTTGCTGTTGTTGTTTGCGGCCACCTTTTCGCTTTGGCAGGTGGCAGCGGCGGCTGGACTTGAGAGCCTTAAGCTTTATTAGAATTCCATTGCGACTGATTGTCAATATATATGTATATATATATATATGTGTGTGTGTGTGTGGGTGTATGGGTGTGAGTGTGTCTGCCAATTCTGTGTATTATCTGAACTCATATTAGTCGCCTATACTTGTATATGCATATTGTTTAGATTTCTTTCTGCGCCTGTTCTGTTTACGTGTAATTCCATATTGTTTGGATTAGCCATTAATGTTTGTTTAGCCGTTCTGCCAAATTAAGTGTTATAGAAACACAAGCAGGGGTGTTGGGTGTTGCAAACTGAAAATGAGTAGATATACAAGTATACATACATATCTATGCACGATGTTGGCACAATTGTTTATATACAACGCATACTGAGACGGAGAGAAGTGCATATTGATCTGCTTTTATAATAATTATGATTGTGTGAGCCTCAAAACAGTAGAGCTGCTTTTAATTAATGTTAAATAGATGTCTTTTAATCAATTTTTAATGGCAAGACAATGTACATAGTCTGTCTAGGAGATCCCATTTGATAATCATTGGCATAATCTAAGAAACAAGCAGATAAGTTTCTATTTATAAAAATATTTTAATTATATAAGTTCTTTAAAACACTCAATCACAATCAAAAGTTTCATCAAAATCGCTGCATTATATCATATAGCTGTCATAGGAACGATCGGTGTAAGAAACGCTCTAAGTAAAATACATTTTTTGTTGGGTTTAGCAAATCTGGGTATTGGCGAGTTTTCTGTAGTGTTCTATAATATTCGTAAATTTCATCAAAATCGGCGCACTCTTTCATAAACGAAGTGCTGTCCAAGCAATGACAAGTTTTATAAATTTTATTATTTAAGGTGTTTTATAATGCCACACCATATAGCTTTCATAGAAATTATTGGCCCAACAAATTGTATTTCACTTGAATAGCTATAGCGAAAAAAATAATGGGTACAGACTATTCCAAATCGGGCTAGCAAGTTGAAATGTACTTTATAGCTCCACAGGAAGCTAAAATATTAGGTTGTTAAAGGTTCTTTCGATTGAGAATTGTTTTAAATACCATAAGTTGTCTGCTATGAGTTAAAAACCCTGTATGGTGATGGGTTTTAATAAACAGCCATATAAATACAACTATATATTGTTCACGTATTTTCGTTCATCTTTAGCTTTCTGATAACAGTGTGCTCTAATGGTATGGTCAGACTGTCTAACATTTTGCCAACAAATGTGTCAAATTTCAGAAGTATATAAACAACTTCACATTTTCACATATAATCGTAGCTTGAGATTGTTTTGTGCAAAAATGTAAGCCTCTACACGTTGTATAACAGAAATGAAAACATTTGTTGTAGATTGGTTAATAGCTATACATACATAGTACTATGTATCAATACATAATTGTTTCTATGGCCATTTACAATTAATGTGACATTTTCATGCACAATTTTTCCAGATTTGATGTAATTTATTGTTTTTATAAAGGTGTTTACAAATTTGAGGAACTCCTACAGAACTAATATAGTGTGTGTTTTCAATTGTCCGTTGTAGCATTCAAAACTGAACTTAAAGTCTAAATATATGAGAATGTTGCAGCATTTGTAAATAAACCTGCAGATAGTTCTCCTCATCACAATCAAGACAATTTGATAGTGTTATGTTTACTATAGTATAATTTCATAGAGCCAACACGTATTATGCGAACTAGTGTTATAGAAGAAACATTTCACACATTTTTCTCCAATTTAAGAAATGAATTGTGTATACCATATATTAGGTAGAAAACAACCCTACTAAGAAAATAACTTTATAGATGAGTTCTCTTTACTAATGTCTTATAGTCGTTGCAAGGCTGACATTTATGCAAAAAGCAATTTACATTTTCTTGATTTTTGTTTACTTAATTATAAAATATTTCCTCCACTACAACTGGATTTTGCTGCCGAGTGGAAAAAAATGTGGAATTTCCTTTGGGTTTCCACATCAACGGTCTATTGAACTACTTATTAAAAAGGGCAGTGTTTGGGGTGGGGTGAATGCAACTTTTGGCTTATA